TGATGAATTTGCCCTGTTAAGGAGAAACAGCAGCATTTCAGCTCAGATACATTTCATTACCATGTCCTCATGTGAGAATACCACTATCCCATCACTCTTGTTATAACAAGAAGGGATTTTTGTGTAAGCTCAAAACAACTCATCAACTCACAAAGCGCGAGGAGTTGTCGTTCCTCACGGTCTTGGCGTTTCCAAAGGCCTCCAGCAGTGGGTTGGCGCTGATGATTTGATCCTCAAGCGTTCCCTGCAGGGGGAAAATTATTCACCGACTGTGTTGAGTCAACAGGGCAATGACAGCCCAAGTGTCCAGTCTGTTCTTCCTGACTCACCTGCATTTTGCCTGACTGCTCCTCCTTTTTCTTCTCCCCGCTGGCTGCAATTGTTGCAAAGTACTGGATGACACGCTTTGTGTTCACAGTCTTCCCGGCACCGGATTCTCCGCTGTCAGAGCAAGGAGAGAAGCAGAGAGCGTGTGGTCAGGCAGGAGGGGCCCTGGCCCTGGGCAGCCCCTCAGGGACCCGAGCAGGGGGTGTACGTACGTGATCAGGATGGACTGGTTCTCCCGATCTGGGGAAGAGACAGAGATAAGAAACCTTTTCCTAGTATTTATGAATAACAAAAAATTTGAGAACTAGGAGAAAAATAAGAACTGAAGCTTCCAGAGAATCCAGGAACAGAAAAAGTAAAAAGACCTGGGAATTCTAGTGGGTACTTTTGATGCTCCCAGCACTACTTCATCTATTAGCAACTGATTCAGTAAAGACATCACTTCAGAGAAGCTTTTATAGTCTTATGCCTTTCCTGACGTCTCTTCATCAAGCCACTTATCTCTTATTAGCCAAGTAAATGTAATGAAAATATGTGGAAAGTACTGCAGAAACATGGTTGATAGAAAGGGGACATGAGAGAGATGCTATAGCTCTGGTCCCACGGTAAGAGAAAACTATTAGAAGGTCACAGTGTTTGAGAAACTGGGTACGTGACAGAGAAAAAGAATATAGCGGATGGGAAAGTTGAGCAAATAGCAAACAAGTAACCATAAGAAGGTTAAAGAATCAGCATTTGCGCAAATATAACTTAGGTAATTAGAAGCCAATGATGAGCTTAGCTTTTGTAATATGTATGAAGCTAATTTGTAACCTTTATAAGCACAAAGCACGCAGCAATAAAGTCGGATAAGTTGGATAAGTTATGATCAATTCTGTGGTCGTGTGTTCTTATCCCGTCGTCTACAACAAAAATATAGGGGTTATACTTTGATAGTATGTAAGTTGTTCTTAACCTAAAAGTTTCCTGAATAATCTTATGGAAATTTTGAGGCATCATTAATGACAGAAACATATGACCAAGCTCTTTCACTCTTTTTCACCTCTTCTTTATAATCTCTATAAATACAGAAATTTTTCAGTCTTGAGATCATCCACTGATAACATTTATTTCTTATTTTTCTATTCTGAATGTATTTCCCAATTTCTAAGAAAAGAAGAAGTTCTAAATTCCCACACACCTTTGATTTCAATGCACGTATAGGGAAGAGAAAACAAGAAGTGGAAGGAAGAGGAAAGAGCAGAAAGAAATTTTTGAAGTCATTCAATTTAAATGCTAAAAATTTTATTTTTTTTCCTTGACATCATTTTCGGAGGTTTACTTTTCACTATTGCAGTTGATTTTTAGTTGCAGTCACAAATCAGTGTAGGAGTTCCAGACGTTGTTAAAGGCTGTATGTACTTTAGACATCTTTTTCATAATGCAAGCCATTTGCATAATAATCAAGTCAGGCTTACGTACCTGTTCAAGGCAGAGATACTCTGTTTTACTTGTTAGCATTGATGCTTGAAAATTTAAATTGACTTAATGCAGTTCATTTATAGGGGCCATGTCATTTAGCTGTACTCTGTAGTCTCTGTCTGAAACTAATTTAGTGGTTAAGATACATAAATCTATTCATATATGTAAGATTCCATTACAGTCAGTAAAGTCTATATCACAAAATCGGTGGTTTTTCCATTGAATTTAGTCTATCTACATTATGTCCAAGTCTTTAGTGATTCTAATGGGAATACAGACACTCAGCTCACACAGACCATTAAAGCTCAGTGCATTAATCTTCCATTAATTTCACACACACACAATTTTTTTTAAGTGGGGCACCATCTTTTTAGAGAATGCCCTACGTTTCCCTCTACAGAGAGATGATTGCAAGAGCAGCTCAAAGGAAATCAAGCACTCACCAGTCAGCATGAACTGATAGGCGTTGTCAGAGATGGAGAAGATGTGTGGAGGGGCCTCCTGGCGCTTCTTGCCTCGGTAGGCCAACACCACCTCCGGGTTGTACACGGGCAGCCACTTGTAGGGGTTGACAGTGACGCAGAAGAGACCCGAGTAGGTCTGCGAGGAAGGGACACAGCACGTTGGCTTCCCCTGGGCCTGGCAGAGCAGTTCCTCCCGCTGCCCAAAGGAAGCTGCTGCTGCCACTTACGTAGATCATCCAGGCTGCGTAACGCTCTTTGAGGTTGTACAGCACAGCGGGTTCGTGGAGGTGGGTCATCATGGCCATGTCCTCAATTTTGTCGTACTTGGGAGGGTTCATGGAGAAGATTTGATCTTCCTTCACAGTTAGGGTCTGCCAAGGAAACAAAAGATCCACATATGTCAACTGAAAACTCAGAATATGAATCAAATGTTGCCCTTCAGGCTTGTTTTTCACTCACCTCTCCCTTTTCAGTCTTGACAGTGACTTTCCCTGATTCCCTGCTCTGAATTGTCCCTTTCACAAAGGATTCCTTTGCGTGTACCACAAAGACGGATGTCTTGGCATCAAAAGGCTTGTTCTGGGCTGCAATTCTCTCCTTTTCTGACTTTCGGAGGTAAGGAGCTGCCTCCCCAAAAACAGCCATCTCAGCATCTCCAGAGGCCATGCCTGCACTCTATTGAAAACTTGTCAGCAGAGACGTCTGGGGGGAGAAAAAGAGTTGTAGATCACTCAGAAAAATGATATAATCTAGATCAGTGAGAAATCTCCTTGATCTTTAGCTAATAAATTGCTAACTAATCTCCAAGGTAAGCTCTTAAGAAGAAACCAATTAAATGCACTTCGACTTGAAGGTAAAAATATCTTAGTCTGACCCTAGAGTAAGATTTAGTCTTCTACAACATGTAGGTCTTATAACAATAAATAGAACATCTTCTGAATATTGAGAGCAGTTTGGTAACTCACCTCGATAAATTCTGACCAGATTAAAGTTTTCCACATAAAAGAATCTACAGCCAGAGAAAATCCCTCTCTGATCTGGTCCTTAATTAGAGTCTTCAGGAGAGTACTTTCTTGCTAAAAGAATTATCTTTTGTGTTAAAAATGAAAAATTAGTTCACTTTTTAGTTCCCCCCTATTTTCAATTATCTAGCCTAAGCAAATTCAGCAGAAATATAATAGGATTTATGAAGAGAACTCGTGCAGCTGTTTAAAAGCCCTGTCCTGTAGTTTAGGAATGGATTACTCAGTGTGTTACCTTTGGAGAAGTCCTGGAATCTGGCCAACCCTGTAAAACAGGAATGGCAGTTGTTTCTTATTGCTGAACAGAATTCTACAACAGAATAACTGTAGATTGAAAATACAGACATGCACTGAAATTACACTGAAAATTTTTGTTCACATGGACACTCCCTCATGGAAATGGTTGCCAGAGGGAGGGGAAATGTAACAGAATTTTTTAAGGATATTTTCCTCTTTCTTTAAGTTCACAAAATGCATGCACTTACCTTGAAGCCCTCTGTGGAGACAGGCTAGACGTGTCTCTGGAGATTTTATAGCATCTTGTCTGCAGATGCTCTAGATGGTCCCCCTTTTTTCGGTCAAAACATTTCTGGCAAACCTTTTTTGGCAAAGCATTGTCTGGCAAACTAAGGGCATAATTGTGCCTTGATTTGAATGATATAATTAGAACATTTTTATATCTTACTGACTACGTGAATACATCTATAAATAATTTGTCAAGAGTGTTAAGGAGAGAATCTGGACTACTCACGGCACTTAGAGAACTTGCATGGTTCTATTGCTGCCTTTCTCAGAGATTTGCTCCTTGACCTGTGGTAGCTTCCTTGGTATGTTTTTCAGTCATGTAATGGTGATGAGAACATCTGTGATGCTTTAGAAACACATGCATTGAGAGGAACAGGGAAAGTATGTCAAAACCCAGCAAATAATTGGTGTTAGGAGGCACTTTTCAGTGGTATTTTCTAAAAAGCAGGAAGTAAAAATGTATTAGCTGGAAGGGTTTGAAATACAGTGAGTTGGAAGTCTGAATCCAAGTAATGGGAGACCCTACTTTGAAATGGAGCTCTTCAATAGATTCCTTAGCTGACTTTTGAGGAATCAAATGTTGCAAAGGAGTGGTTAGGATTGCTTATAGAATCATCAACAAAGATGGCTTAAAGGATTACCATCAAAGGCATTAGTAAAAGGGAGTTCAATATAAATTTGCAAAAGCACAGCAAAGTTTGATGGCAAGGTTTGCTCTATTACTTCCTACAAAGATCAAGGGAAATCATCTAAGAATCACTTTCAAATGATTTACACAACAACTGGAAATGCAAAGGATAAAGGTAAAACGGTAAGAAGGATCCTTCAAGTGAATCATGAGGCTCACAAAGGGCTCCCTTGCTTTCCAAACTCCTGATGGAATCCAGGTGCAGCTGAATCCAATCTTAATACCAGACCTGGTCAACAGTTTATGTCTAGAGGGTTTTAGCAGCACTTACTCGTTGACTAATTTAACATTTATAAAGTGATTCAATAGGATTTACTACAATTACAACAGTGACTTCGTTATAAATCCCAGATGGCAACATTCAAACTACACTTGCAGGAAGGTTGACCTTGAGGAGTGGAGGATATTGGTCCAGGCCAGCATTATGACCCACTCCAGAAGGGGAGGGTAACCCAGGTTCTTGTTAATAAATCCCTTGGGGTGGATTAGAGTGAAATAACACTGAATAATCGGTGTTTGTAAACATATATATGTAGGGTTTATTTTAGAACCATTTTGTTTCAAAAGTAAATAGCTATTTTGCTGTTCTGGGTGTTATCTATAGCAATAATTTATAGCAATGTTGCAACATTAGAGCATAGCAATATAGCACTATTAAAGCAGAAAGATAACACTTAAGGAAATGCATAAGGGAAAGAAAGGGAAAGAAAGCATAAAGGTGGAAAGATATACATAGTCACGACCCACTGGATCCAACAATGAAACTTGGTAGTTGCAGCTTCCATGTCTGTTGGTCGAAGTGGTGGTCTTGATCTGTTGGGGGTGGGGGAAGCCCCCCCAAAACTCAAAGATGTTATGAGTTATTATACACTTCTAGCTCAGGTGGGAAGACCTTGTACCTCCCCGGGGTGGGGACTTTTACAATGGATGGTGCCATGGGACATGTCACTGAGTCTCTGACATCTCCTAAAAGAGCTGCAGCTGCCCACTGTGTCAGCATCAGTCATGGTCCATTGTGGTCCAACATTTGAGATGCATAGCCCAGGCTGGATGCTCAGTTATCATGTAAAGGGAGGACACTGGCATGAAAAAAGGTTCTCCCACCTTACAGGACTTGCCTCTTCTTAGCCTCTTCTCTTATCTGGAAATACAGTTTGCAGCCTCAGGCAGGCATCTGCACCCCAGATAGCTGGACAGTGGCATCCACTTATCTAATCTAAAGGTCCCTTGGCAGTATTCAGGGAGAAGTGGGCTTTGCTGGGTGAGAAACTGCTTCTTTTCAGTTTGCAAAAGTCTTTTGGTAATCTTAGAATGTATAAGTCATTAACTGTTTCAGTCTCTGACAGCCGTGTCATCAGCTTTCGTGAATTTTTTGAAAATCAGGCCTCCAATTTTCACAAACTTGAGAGTCTGTGAGCTCTGAGAGGCCCCAGTCAGAGGGAGATGCTGCAGTCCAGGAGAGCCCAAAGGGCCTCACTTAGGACCACTGTGACCACTGTTTAAAGGGCTTCAAGATGTTTGGGTTTAGTCATCCATAAATTTCCATCCTGACCACAATCCAGGTCAGGAATTACTGGAGCTTCCAAAACTCTAGTAACAATTCTACTGGAGTTACCAAAACTCCAGCAACAATGGTACCATTCCACTTGGGCTACAATTCAGGTAGGGAAAGTTCCAAGGCTTTAAGCAGGTGATTGATTATTCCCTCTCTCATCCTTCACCTTAGCCAGGCAACAGGAATTCCTGATATGGACAGTGGTGCTCCCACCTTTGCCATGCAAGGCTTCTTGATAGAGTCAAGGGACACTCAGTACACAAACATCAAGGCTTTATGGGACTCCCTGAGATTGTAGATCAGCCCTGAGGAGGAAGGGAGTATGCACTACCACATCAAAACAAAACATATACTTGTATGTGCATAGATAATATATGTATTTATGCAAATTTCATTTAAAAAGTGATTCCTCAAGAAACTTTGCTCTCTCTCACTGTTGACTGTCTTTCATTTTTTACTTGAAATTGATGCTTGCTTGCTCCCTTTATTGTCTGCATAAATAATGAGTTTCCTCAGTCAAATATGAAGTTCCAGTAGTTCCCATATCCCCTCTCTACCTGCAACTCCCCCAAAACCAGCATGCCTTTCCCTGCCATGCTCGTGCACACAATCACACTCATCACCTCAACATACAGTTCCAGCTACTATACATTCTGATAAATCCTCAGTCTTGCAGTGCCGTGCCATCAAAATAAGTGTATTTACACATTCACAGTCCCAGAAACACCCAACAACACAGGACTGTCTGTACCAGAGCAGTAGAGGCAGTAGGAAGTTGCAGGAATTCTTGTGTAATGTTGATGGTGTGGGATAGAGAGTTGCTCATAGTGCAAGCAACTAACTGATCTAGTACTGGTCTAGTTCTAGGAAAGGGTGTAATCACAGAATCATAGAATCAAAGAACTGTTTAGGTTTGAAAAGGGCAGTCCAACCATTAGTCCAGCACGGCCAAGTCCACCCCGAACCTTGTCCCCAAGTGCCACATCCACACTTGATCTACACTAATCACTTAAACTTCTTCAGATTCTCTGGGTCTAAACACACTTGTCTTCTGGTCATTTGCATTTCAATCATTAAAATATCTCAGTGAATATCACAGCAAAGAGGGCAGAAAACCAGTGTCAGTGATCCCGTGCAATATACAGCATCAAGTGATTTCCTGTGCTGTAGGAGACCCTCCAAGGGTGCTCTGGCACATTTTGGGCCCCAGGTTGGAAGCCAAACCCAGAGCTCAGCCCTGAGAACACCACACAAGTTATGGGGACAGTTGAATATCTCAGAAGGTTCATCTTTTCACATGGATTAGGAAGAAGAGTTGCCCAGTTGCCCACACCAGAGGACTGATGTGGAAATTTTGAATTCTTGTCTAGTTAATACAGTAATGTGGAGAGCATGTAGCATCTGATTTATCATGTAACCTTCACAAAATAATTCTTCATACAGGAATAGGGACCTGCCAAATTTCTCTGTATCTTCAGCTGCCACTCACAGATCCTTGGAGAAAGACAAGTCACTCAGGAACTTATACTGACCATAGCCTTGTCTTCCTCTTTTGGCCTCCTGCCAAACAGGCTGCACTCAAGAGAGGTGGAAATTATGGAGCTGAATTCCTTTCTTGCCATGTCCAGTACTGAAGTCTTGTGTAAAAATTTCTCCATGCTCATGCTGTTCAGGGAATTCAGGTTCCTCAAGTTTGCTGCTTCAGGCCCTTCACCAAGTGACTCCTCCTTTCTTAGCAGCTAAGCTGTCAGGACAGAAATAACACTTGCAAATAAAAGGGGCTACTAGACTGCTAAAGCAACTAATGTAACACACAGAGGAGCCTCCAACTACTCCACACAGAATAGGCAAATGATATTTTGGGTTCTAGTACTCACTGTCAGTGAGTGCTGCATGAAATCACTAATTAGGGTGTAAAAGAAAAGCAGTGTTGACTTACCTGGTTCGAATACAGCTGTGGACATAGATGAAAATAAAGCTGTTTAAGAATTGATCTATGACAATACACATAATACAGCATCCTTTGAAGGGTTAAAATAACCCCAAAAATTCAATATGATTGTGTAGAAATAAGGAATCAAAGGACAGCAGTTCAGTTTTAGTAGACTAAAGACCACTTAATGATACCATTAAAAATTACCCGGGCAAAAGCCTGCCAATTATCAGAAAAGAACTAATAAAGGGTAGCAGTCGCTTCATCATAGAAGCCAAACAGGTTGATCAAACATGATTACTTTTCCTGATAAATACCAAGAGGACACATTGTCTTTCAAATAACTAAAGTGCAACTGAGCAGCTTACAGATTCCCTGGTACAGGTTCCTGCCTTTTTTAAAGGTGGGTGTAACAACAGCCTTTTCCCCCTCATCTGGGACCTTCCCTGGGAGTCATCATTTTTCACCAATGGTAAACATAAGCCTTGCAGTTATGTGGGTGAATTCCTTCAGCAACCTTTGATGAGTCACAGCCCCATGGATGTGAATACATTCAGTTTCTCTTAGAAAGTTCAGCTTCACTAAGAAGCAAGGCCAGGACTTCCCCACTTTGATTGTCCCTTTCTTTCTCAAACTCTATTGGAAGATGCTGACGTTGAGGGACAAATTTTGCCAATGAAGACTGACACAGAAAAGGTGCTGCATACAAGTGCTTTTTGAATCATCTCTCACTAGATGGTCACCCATATTCAGCATCAAACACACATTTTCTCTGAACTCCCTTCTGCATCATCCATGCAGAACTGTTATGCTCAATGTTTGAAGTACTCAAGCAATGTTTTATAGTCCTTATTTTGTTGCCAGTCCTTGCCTCCACCTCTTACATACTTTTGTGTTCTAATTCATCAAGAAGTTTGCTTAGCTAAGATCCAATTCCCAATCCTCCTGCAGAACAAGATAGTTTGTTCCTGTGCTCTTCATAATTTTCCTTTAAACTCTAACCTCCTCTCCTGGCATTCTCTTTCACAGCTGCTGCCATGTGTGTGCTAACTGGCAGTTCCCTGAATGCAATGAATTCCAGTCTTACAAAGTCTAGAGTGCTAATTCTGCTGCTTATCTTCCCAGCTTTCCACTAGATCCTTCATCCAGTCATCATGTGTTTGCTGCAGCCTAAGCTGCCATCTGGGATCATATTTATCACTAGTTCATCCTTACTGCCAGCACTCAGCATTGCCTGGCCAGTATTTACATTGGGATGTTGACATTAGCGCTGCCTAAGAATTTCTGGCACAACTTGCCTGGTGCTGTTGCCTCACAGCAGATGTCCACATGGCTGAAAATCTCTCTAAGGCAGAGGAGACTTGTGACTTTCTACTAGTTGTAGAAATCCTCCTCCACTGCTTTGTCTTGGTCAGGTGGTCCATGACAGACCCCATCACAACATCCCTCATTTTCCTCCTGTCTCTGACAGAATGTTCTGCAGCCTCACATGGAGCATTGCACAAGCAAGGAGCACTTTGACATAAAGCATAAATCCTTCTCATTTCCCCGCCTATGCCTCCTAAACAGTCCCATGACCATGTTCCAGTAGTGCACATTATCTCCATAATTCTGCTCATGTTCCCCTTCTTCCTTGTAAAATTCCTACATTTGCAGCTATTCCTCTCTCGCTTCTGGGATTTTGTGCTTTTCCCATAACAAAACTGATTTCAGACCCTTGTCATCAGGTTAGTAGTCTCATTGCAAAGATTTCTTTCCTTCTTAGTCCTCAAATACAGATGTCCAAAAATCTAGGGGAACTTACAGAACTTATAGTTTCCAAACATAGTGTGGAAACTCCTACTTAAAAATCCATCTAGATATCACAGGACTGCCCAGTGAGTAATGCAATGCCATGGTATTGAAAGGGCTTATGGAGAAATCCAGGGAACTACAGTGCAGTGATGAGTGCACTGGACAAATGTGTGCTGAGACCCAGAAACCTCCCATGCCCTGGGCTGATCCCACAGCGTGGGCAGAGGGGAAGGGGGGCATTCTGCCCCTCTGCTCCCTCAGGTGCCACAGGGAGGACATGGAGCTGCTGGAGAGAGTCCAGAGAAGGCACCAAGAGGATCAGAGGAATGGAGCAGCTCTGCTGAGAGGAAAGGATGGGAGAATTGGGATTGTTCAGTCTGGAGAAGAGAAGCTTTGGGACGACTTGATTGTGGCCTTCCGGGACCTGAAGGGAACCTGCAAGAAGGATGGAGAGAGACTATTTACAAGGGAGTGGCAGGACAAGGGGCTTCATGCTGACAGAGAGTAGGTTTAGATTAGATATTGGGAAGAAATTCTTCCCTGTGAGGGTGAGGAGGCCCTGGCACAGGTTGCCCAGAGAAGCTGTGGCTGCCCCATCCCTGGAAGTGTCCAAGGTCAGGTTGGATGGGGCTTGGAGCAACCTGGGACAGTGGGAGGTGTCTCTGCCCATGGTATGGGGAGATGGAATGAAATGATCTTTAAGGTCCCTTCCAACCCAAACCATTCTATGATTCTATGATTCTTTGAAATCAGTAGAAATTATAACAGTAGAAATTACTGTTATAGAAATTATAACAGTAGAAATTAGAACAAAATTAATGGATACAGGAAAAAGTGACAGTCTTTCACATGTATTCAAAAGGGGAAGTTCACTTCACAAACCTGTTTTCTCCTTTGAAGGCCAGATAAAGCACATAGATTTAACTATCAAGACTACACTTCTAATGCTAAATAAGTCTGTTCCTGAGTGTGATCTCTGGTATCAGGTGAAATGGTGTGAGTTGCTTTGCAGTCAGCCCTCGGTGCTCCTGACCACCAGAACAGCATCAGCATCAGCACTGCACAACCCTTGGCTTGGGACCCTGCTCTTTAGAAAAGCCTACTTTCTCTTTCACTCCAAATAAATAATGACATGGAGGGAAAAAACTGCAGCACTGGCATCTATGTGCACATTGTTCACACAAATGGAACATCAGCTGTCAGAGCAGCTTTCAAAGGGAAAACCCCTCACCCTCTGCACTAGACCCAGAGGGATCAGAAACTGAGAAAGAAACTGTGAGAAAATGGATAGAAAAGGACTGGAAGCCCAACATGGGAAGGTTGGGGAACTTCAAGGAGAAAACAAAAACTAAACTTTCGCCCTTTTCCTCTAGATGGTGTTTCTGGAAGATAAATATTATATTAATTCATATTTGTGGGCAAACTAACTTGAAGAATTTTATTCCATAGATTTAAAATTCTTGATCATATGGACACTCAGATAAGGATCTTGTAAAAAGCTCTGGGGTACACACCAACTTTGGGTTTGTTTTAATTCACAGAGATTATCAGTCCCACTGAAGTGATAAATTGCTGTCACATGGCCTATTGGGCATTCCAGGGTCTTGCAGAGGAATACTCTCTAATTTGAATTACCAGATCCAGACTCCATGAAGATTTAGCTCCACAGTTCTCACAGTTCCATGAGCTAGGCCATAGAAAACCAGTCAACTTCCTCTCTCCAACCATGGGGCAGCCAAGATGACACCTGTCCTTGGGAAGAGGGATCTGTTGAAAGAGGCAGCAATGTCCTCATGCAAAACAAAGAGAGAAATGAATTCTGCCAGCCACTGACATTTTGCCACTTCTGTTTCAGGGCCTAGAGTCCAGTAGAACTAGAAGCAAACCACAGCACAGCCAGAAGAGGCAGAATCAGAGAAATCCCTGGATAAAGATGGTCCTGCACAGACATAAGGTGTGGGCAAAGTGCTGAAAACAGGTCCCATCCCACTTTCTGTAAGTCCCTACAATGTGATTTCCCTTCCGTTTTGTTCAGTGAGCATGAGCTGAGGAGTTCTGGGGAGAAAGAGGGGAACTCATGAACACTGGTGAAGTGTGAAAGTGGAGCACTATCAAAGCTTTTGAGTTTGTGGCCCCATGGAAATCTCACTCTCTGGTCTGCTTCTTAGAGCAGCCTTGTAACTTGCCTAGTTAGAAAGAAAGTCCAAGACCAGTATCTCCATGTCATTGGCACAGAACCAGTCACCTTCAGGCCTTCTGCTTAGGTCCTCCTTCCACCCTGGACCAAGTTGATCAGGACCTCCTGTCTAGTTGCAACACCAGAAAAAGAAGCATGAATGCAAGTCTCTATGCTCCTCTTCAGTCTCACTGATCTTCTTTTCTGCCCAGAGAGAAACAAATAAAGCAAACCCAGATAGAACGTGCAAAGTTCAAGAAGGCATCTTCATATTTGTAGGCAAACTAACCTGAGGAATTTGCTTCCACAGATTTAAAAATCCTGGTCATGTGGACACTCAGACAGGTATATTGCAAAAATCTCTGGGCTGCACCTCAAATCCTGGCAGCAGTTCTGGGCCCCTCACTGCAAGAAATTCATTGAGGGGCTGGAGCGTGTCCAGGGAAGGGAACAGAGCTGGGAAGGGTCTGGCACACCAGGAGTGGTTGAAGGAACTGGGGGGCTCAGCCTGGAGAAAAGGAGGCTCAGGGGGGACCTTCTCACTCTCTGCAACTCCCTGACAGAGGGGGAAGCCGGGGGGGAGAGGGGGGTGTCAGGCTCTACTCCCAGGGAACAAGGGACAGGAGGAGAGGGAATGGCCTCAAGTTGTGCAAGGGGAAGTTTAGGTTGGATATTGGGGAAAATTTCTTCACCTGAAAGGGTTGTCCAGCCCTGGCACAGCTGCCCAGGGCAGGGGTGGAGTTCCCATCCTAGAGGGATTAAAAGATGTGTGGGGACATGATTTAGTGGCAGACTTGGCAATGCTGGGGTAAAGGTTGAATGGAATGATGTTAGAGGTCTTTTCCAAACCATATGGAGACCTCACAACAGCTTCACATTTCTGAGAGCACAGGCAGCAGGGAAGAAATTATTCAGTTGGAGGAGCAATTGTACTGATTTCTTTTCCTGCTTTTCTTTCTGCAGGCTCTTTCTCTTTAGGATGCTGAGATACCAGTGTCATCTCTTTCACTTTTCCTATGTCTGCTAAACTGTTTGGCATTATGTCCAGAATAGTGAAGGGCAGTCATTGCCAAGTCCTTCCCCTGCTTATCACTTACTATTTGCAGGAATGTTTCAGAAAAGGATGTGATTTCATCAAAGATTGCCTAAATTCACTTCTACTGGGAAATTAGTATTTAGTATCAGTGCCCTTATATTTTAGGGAAAGAAAAAAATTATTTAGTTCAGTGCCTTGATTCTGCCTTAAAAACATGTATGGCAATGTGAGAACTAGCTATGGAAAATCACTTTCTGGTCTAATGTTTTTTCTTGCCAGACTCTGTAACTCATACAGACTAGAGTAGTATCCCCCCAAAATAAATGGCAATATTTCAATTCCAGAATCAGGACATTAACATATAGCATTTTTTATGTAAAAAAAACCCCAACACCATCACCCCAAAACAGCAGAGGCTGGGCTAGTGACAGACCCTTTCCTGGGAAATACAAAAATCATGTGGGCTAGAACTACACTTACGATTCTTCCAGAAAGTGCAATGATGTAGGAAGGAGTCTGAAGTTTCCTGACTTGGTCATGATTTCCCCACTGCCAAAAAAAGGATCACAAATCCTTGCAGGGCTTTCTCTCAAGTGGTGTTGTTGGCCATGTTGTTGTTAGGGTAGGGCCTGCCTAGAGAGGTCAGTTTGCTCTGCAGCCTGTGATGGACGTTCTGACAGGGAACACTCAGCCCCTGCTGCAGCAGCTTTTCTGCTGCCTCTGTGTAAAATGAGAGCTACCAGGAATGTTAGCACAGGGCAAGCAGAAACAACCCTCTGTAGTAACACTGCTCATCCCTGTACTTCTGCTAGGATGTGGCTGGACACTGAACCCCAGAGATGGTAAGAGCACATTTTCCATGTTAAAAGGTTATTTATCAAATCAGTGTTGCTCCATTAAGGTGCATGCTTTCAATATTATGTGCAGAATGTGCTCAGTCCATAATTTTGATGTGACATCTGGTTGGGAAATTTGCCACTGAACTGACGTTAAATGATAAATGTGGCTGAAGGAACGGGTTGAGAGAATTGCTGGAAGCAATAGATGATTTCCTAGGAAAAACTACTGAGGACCATAACTAATGAGACAAAAGCTGCAGGTTGAAAAGCAGTGTGGACCATTCATTCTTTACCATGGCAAATGTAAGCAAAAATTTCCGGGTCTAAGTGTGAGCACCTGTGAAGACACACTGATGTCACAGGCTGGCCATGGAGGGGCTGTAATGGCCTTGCTGTCCCCTGCCCCTTCTGCTCTATTCAGAAATTAATTTCTGCAGATCTTAATGCAGCTCTGATTTACCCTCACTACAAGTCAAGGAAAGTGAATGCTCCTGTCCCAGGGGTAATTTTAATGTTACATTTGTTTCCTAAGGAACTTTCCACAGACTGGTATTCTTGGAAGTCCTCAGAATGAGTTAACTGAACATGAGAGGCAAATAAACCCCATAATGTGGGATTAGAGGATGGGCAGCTTTCAAATGTGAACCACAGGTGCACATTACACACACTCCTCCTGTGTCCACAGCCACAGCGGAAAAGCTTGGAGTAGGAGATTCAGTCCAAGGAGATGACCCTTGGGATGCCCTTTCAATCCCCCACCAAAGGAGCTGAGGGGCTCCTGTTACAGAGCAGGTGAGCGGGAGGGGCAGGCTGGAAGATAGCTGGGGAGAAAAAGGTAATTGAAGCAGCAAGTAACTGTAAAATGAGGAAGGAAGGGGAATGAAAAGAAAGTAAGGAAGAAGCATAGTATTAACCCCTGCAGGAAACTGTATCATAATCTAAAATAGGCTGGGCTTGTGAGATCGAAGGTCCACATAACCAAACTTTCTGTCTTTGAAAGTGATGGCCAGGAAGGAGCATCCAGATAGAATGGCACTTCTCCCAGACTCTCCCAACTTCCAGTAATTTGTGTTTATGGAGTCCCTGGGCAGAATGCAATGTCTGGGTATTTAACAGCTCATGGTGAATTTTTAACTGCTGAATTTGTCCAAGCACTTTTTGAACCCATGAAGTGTTCTCTGAGCACATGGAATGTTACTGTGATCCTCCACTGACTGAGACTAACCCAGAGAAAGCAAATATCCACATATGCAGTTCAATTCCCTTTGTTCTGATCTCTGACTGTTACAAACTTACATGTTTTTTGCACTTCAGCCAAACTTGCATATGAAGCCACATATTTGAGGAAGTAAAAATAGTGATTGAACTGCAGAAAGATCTCCCAGGTGCCAAGGCAGATGGTGCTACAGTTAATCTGCAGGACATATTTATACTACAAGTAGAATATTTTCAAGGGAATTGTCTTTCCAACCACTAAGGCTCCTGTCACTTAAGAGACTCCACCACAGCTTCCCGTGTAACATCAGCAGATAGATTTCCTTGGTGGTCAGTCTAAACATTTCTTTGATTGCTCTCTGCATCCATCCTAGGGGGGGATACAAATCCCTGCTCTTCCTAAAGGGCAAATCAGTTGTGTAAAGCAGAACAGCTCCAGCAGAAGACAATGACAATGACGTTGTCATGACAACCCACAGCCAAGGTGCCAAGGAGTGGTGGCCCATGTGAGAGATCAGCAGCTGCAGATCCTAACAGTGCTTACATCTCCTGTCCTGAGGAGACAAGCGCTTACGTCTCCTCTCCTGTCCTACTCACCCTACTAAAGTCTACCTGGGACAGACCTTTCTCTCCATGGGCTTATCACAAAGTACTTGGAAATATTTGAGTTTATCCCAAAACAGAAGTGAATGCCTTGTCCAAAGGAGGAGGGGACATTTTTTACATCTTCATCAGGACCATGGCCTGAGAAAACATATCCCAAATCTGCTGCAGCCAAAGATGCAGTGCCAACTTCACTTCATCACCGTTAGCTGAGCAACACAGGCATTGCATTCCTCCAAAATCAGTTCCTCGGGTCCCTCAAAGTGCCCTTGCTCCCTGAGAAGTGCACTCTCAGGGTGCAAGGTCTCAGAGCAGAGCTGTGTCTTGACTGCACTGCAAAGACTGAGTTTCACCCTGATGTGTGTATGGTGTCTTCAGTCCTATCTGTGTAAAAACTCTGAATTCAAGAGAACTAGTACATGTAGAACTGGGAAAAAGAAATGAAGGACCTCTGTGTATGCCCTTTTCCTGGTTCTATGGCAGGTTCATTGGTAAATTCATGGTGAATTCAACTGTTGAGTTTACTTCCTCAACCTCTTTGTCAAGAAGTTTTTTTCCTTTAATACAGAATATTTTCAAAATACTGCGTAACTGGAATGGCCAGCTCAGGAGATGCAGATGCCCCTCTAGCGCAGGAGTTCGCAAGTCTGAGACGTGTGTTCTGTTGGAACACAGGCACTGCATCTATTTTAAACTTTCTCTCTGAGATAGTCCTTTATGGCCACTTTGGAGCTGTGTTTCCCCTGGAGTCAGTCAGCACTCAGCAGCTGCCAGGCAGCCCAACCCCGCAGACAGTGTCAATGCCAGAGGCTGTCATCCTCTAGGTATGGCAATAGGTATCCCAGAGGAAGGAATGTTTGCCTTCCCTCCCCGAGAATGCTATTTGGATCTCAGAAATTTATCATAATTTATGGCCTCCCCAGGTGAATATTACTGTTAGTTCAGCATGAAAGAAAACCTGATATTGCTGGTTTTTCTCTATGTTCTAGCTACTTGTGATATGTCTGAAGCTGGCATATCACTAGAGTTCATATTGTACCATTAGAGGGTTTTTTTTACCAGTTAAAGAATTCTGTAAAAAAAAGTATCATAATAGGCCAATAAAAACAAGAGTTCTCTTTTAAAAAGGGCGTTTACAGTGTTTCTTAAATTAAAGGCACATTATTTATTTATCAATTTGGAAAAATCAATTTTTAATATCCCTTAAAATGTATTCCCCAAACTAATGTGATGTTCAGGCAAATAAACAGAACTCTAAAATGAGAACTCTTTACAACTGGAAAATAAGCTTTTAATAGATAAAAGCCATATTTCAGATATTAGAAATTAATATTTCTAGGAAGCAAGAGAGGGATTCTTCATCAGAAATTGTAGTGATAGGACAAGGGGGAATGGCTTCAAACTGACAGAGAGTAGTCTTAGATTGGATATTAAAAAGAAATTCTTGCTTGTGAGAGTGGCGAGGCCCTGGCACAGATTGCCCAGGGAAGCTTGGACAGGGCTTGGAGCAACTTGGTCTAGTGGAAGGTGTCCCTGCCCATGGCAGGGGGTGAAACTGGATGATCTTTAAGGTCCCTTCCAAACCAAACCACTGTGGAATTCTATGATTTTATATTAACATGCCTACACAATTTTGGGCATTATGAGGCAAAACCTTCTCAGACGTTATAGCAGGATCAGTAATTGACTATGAAATTTAAACATAAAAATAGATATGATGCCCATCACAGTTTCAGTCGCAAGAAAGTTATTGAATTTTTCTACAGAAGATCATATGATACCATCCATATCTACACAGTCCTTGAGAGGTGCTTATCTAGAACATATCCTTAGAAGCACAGATTAAAGGAGATTCTGCAATATTATAGATACTCTGTTTTACCATACAGTTTTCCTCATTCAAATATTTCCTTAATATTAACTCCGAGTCCTTTTAACTTCAAATTAAGCAGTTATGATGCTGGTGATAGAACCCTCCATGTATCTTAATGAAACTTATTTTCACTTGAAAAGATTTTTTCACACTTCCACACCCAGACTTTACTTTGCTCATTTCTTGACTTATAAAATTAATTTCTATCCATACCTTTTTCTAAGTCATATTCTTCATACTTGTCATTTTGGCTTCTCTTCTCCTTATTCTTCCTTACAAGAATATTTTCCTTTTTTCAGAAGAGAGCTACAAAGTGTGCTCCATTCAAAATACTTTAGGCTATATTTAAGATAACCCACTGCCTAAAGGGAGCAAACATTAAGCAGCAGTGCACCACATAAAGAATACTTGTACAAATATTGGCAATACTTAGATTCAATTATGATAATGAATTGAATGATTAAGTAACTTTCACAAGTGCTTGACATTGCTAAGTGTGTAAAAACTCGTGACCCCAATTGCTTTTCTCTCTGGCTCAAGGGACAAACCACATGCATTTCTGTCTGATTTCATCCTCCCAAAGTACTTTAATTCTCTTCATTAAATTTCCCACTGAAAATTACAAATATTTTTTCCAGTTTTCCAGATCTGCCTTTAAGTTTGATCCCATTCCATCCTGCTAAAATGCTTGGAAGCCCCTTTTCCCAAGAAACACAGCAGCACTGTCTGTTTCTGTCACCTCAGAGTCTTTTCTTCCAGCATTGGTGAGTGGAACATTCCCAGATGTTCTCTGGCCCATCCCACCTGACTGTTCTGTCCCAGTGGGGAGCAGATGAAACCGGCTGAGCGCCCTGGTTGCCTTTGAACCCTTGTGCTGTGATTTGCTCCCAGTCCGTGGGCCCGGCAGTTGCAGCAGGTTTAAAGCCCCCCGGCTGAGTGAGGCCGAGCGGCTGCTGTGCAGAGGAGCAGCTGCCCAGAGGAGGGTCCCGCGATGGCTCCAGGCTGCCATCGCCTGGCAGTGGGGCCTGGAGCCGAGGGGGAGATCGGGGCTGCCCCGCTGAGCTCCCTGGGACTGACAGGGGCCGGGTGGGGCCGGGAGAGGCTCCCCCGGCTCCCCCCGGCAATAATTCCATCGTCTTTCTGCCAAGGGTCCCTGAAGGAACTTGTCTGTCTTTCCGTGTCGGGTGACAAGGCCCAGGCTGAGGATAAAGCTGATGGGGCCGAGGCCGTCAGAGCAGCAGCGCCAGGGCTGAGGCGACAGGCACAGCCCGGGCCCAGCTGATGGCCCCGGTCTGGGTGTGCTCTGTCCGGTGGCCCCGGGGCCGGAGCCGGCAGGGACGGGCTTTCCGGAGCTCTGCAGAGGGCCCAGGCAGTCGGGCTGCAGGTGAGGCTGGGTCTCCATGAGCACCGTGTCACGGCCACCAGCCTGGCCAGGGCTCCTCCTTCAGCCCAGATACTGCCGTGGCCCTTGGGGGATCTCTCGGCTTCGGCCCTACAGCCTTCGCTCAGCGAGTGCTGGGAAAGCACAGCTTGAGCAAAGGGATATGGCCCCTGCAGCGCTGCCGAACCTGGGAGCAAGCCCTGCCTCTTCCTTCTTCCTCACCCAGACTGGGACTCCAGGGTGGAGGCTGGAAAATGCTGCATTTTCAGAGCTACAGCCCAGCCCGCCTTTTCCATGGGTAGGTTTACAAGAGGGAGGATGCCCCCTCGACCCCAGTGAGCCCCAGCTGACTGCTGGAAGTACCTGGGCAGCTGCTGTGTTCCCCGTGGGACAGCACGTCCCAGGAGATAGGGGAGAGCACCCAGGTGCTGGGTTGGCACAGCACCGTTGCACGGGCTCCAAAGGGGCCACTCTGGATTCAGACTCTGAGCAGGGAGAGCACGCTCGGGCCGCAGTCTGACGTTTAACCTTTCAGCTGGGAATGGAGCTGTGCTGGACCAAGCCTCCCTGGGGTAAGAATAGCATCTGCTGTCTTGGGACACAGCACAGTTGTCCAGCTCCTCCACGGCAGCACATGGCACTGAGACACAGAAGGCAGCCTACCCTCCCAGGAATGTCTCAGGCACTATTAGTGGAAGTGAATCATGCCCACAGACAGGCACGACCCTGAGCAGGAATCTTAGGAGAGCAGGGCTATTTTGGGCCTTTGTCACTGCAGAGGAAAGGAGACACATGATGTCTTCACGTAGCTGCCTGCTTCATTTTCAGCCACATGCGTGAGAGCTGGAGAGATAGCAGAGAGCATGTAACTGTGTGCAAGTGAAAGGGGCGGGAGGCTGGAGGAAGAAACAGTCTAAAGAAGGCTGTGGTAAGTCAGAACAGACACAGTTATAGCCCTTGATGTGAGAGCTGCTTCTTCAGTGACTTGACTGCCTTTTCACACCGGTGCCCTCTGAGACAGCGCTTTTGGACAAGTCATCAAAGAAACTCTCCAGGTGTTCCACTTGCCAGTAGGGCCAGGGCTCACTCCTCTCTTCCCTCTGCCTGGCTTTGCTGGCTGCATTCCTTCATTCTGGTGACACATCCTCAAGCTTCCTCGGTGCAGGCAATGGGAGGCAAAGGATGGTGCAGGGTCTGTAGAGCAGGGTTTCAGAGAGTCTCAGAAGTTAACGCTTGCACCAGCCATTCCAGCTAACAGGGATACTCATGGATGTTGTGTGCCATCTAGACTCTACCCAGCCCCCCCTGAAGCTTTGGAGATGCCTGCAGGTGGGACTGCCACCCAAGAGGAGCAGTCAGCTCACAGGTGGGCTTGGGCAGGCAAAGGCTAAGGCCAAGAGGCCCTGCCTGTGGTGGCAGGTCAATGCATGCTGTGAGACATTGTCAGAGAGGACTAGTCTGACCAGGTGTTAGGTGGCTTTCTTAAGGTCTTTGTGATTGAAGGCTGAGGTTTGCCCCTAAACAACCATCTCCCATTGCTCTCTGCTGAGATACAGCACTGACAGCACTGACAGAAGTTCTGCTCACCAATGCTCACAAGGGACAGTAATGGGAGGAAGGAATGGAGGGCTGCACCCATCTGTTTTCTTCTTTTCTCTTGTCTGAGACAGTGCCATGTGCAGCCTGTTGTGCAGGAGGTGCCAAGGCTGACCTCTGAGGTGATTGTTGAGGAGGTGTGTTGGTGCACGTGCTGTGCGAGAGGTGGGTACTAAGGGAGAGTCCTTCCAGCACGGGGCCCCAGGCGGGGCTCTGCTGTTTGCCCACTAAGAGGAAACTGGGAGCAGGTGGTGGCAGCAGCTGAGGGGATCCAGGGTAAGGGAGATGGCACAATGTAGAGACACTGTCAGTACGCAGTGACTAAAATTGTCTCTTTCAAGGGACTGTTGGTCCTTGACGGTGCAGTGCACTGTAACCTCTGATTACTTAGGGGTAGGTGTTTAGAGTTTGTGAGTGGCAGCATCAGAAACATGGGCAGGGAAAGGAAAAAGGACAGGGGATCACCCTCTCTTGCCTCTCCCATGGGAAAGAACTTATGCTGAGAGGACAATGAGAGAAGCATTAGGAGCACGTGAAGGCAGGAGCAGGACAAGGAGCTGCTGGAGACAAAAGAGAGCGCAGGCTGGATTTTCAGGAGTCTCCACAGGAATGGCCAGATTCTAAGTTTGCAGGTCCTCAGTCCAACATTTGCATCAGCTCCCCTTTCCTAACCAGGAAAAAGTAAGGAGTCTTCTTCTCCAATGCAATATCCCGAGTATGGTGAGAAAACCAAACCCAAAGGCGGCACTGGTCATGGTGTGTTTGCAGAGGAATCTACTCTTTATTCACTAGACACTGAGGTGGGTACATTGCAGAAGGAAGTGACAAAGGGTTCACACTTTGTGCAGCCCGCAGGTCACTTTGTACCTCATGACAATCTCACTCTTCCTCTTCTATCCTCCTATGAAACTCCCGACTCTTGGCTCGGAGCTTGTTGACCTGTGACTCTGCAATGTCAGCCCGTTCCTCGGCTTCCTCCAGCTCGTGCTGGATCTTGCGGAACTTGGAGAGGTTGACATTGGAGAGCTGCTCCTGGGAGAGAGAAGGAGTTGGTGGTGAGGAGCCCAGGGCAGGGGTGTCACTGCTCCTGTGCCTTGGCCTGGGGGAGGGCACAAACTTCCATCCACCACCCACCGCAGCGTATCCGTGAGTCTCAGTGAGATCCTTGAAAACTCCTCAGTGCCCCTCTCACAGACCCTCCTCACTGAGTCCAGAAGCCTTTGTCTGGGCTGGGCTGTTTGCCACAGTGAAGAAGCCACGCTCAGCCAATCATAAATTCAGGGACTGCAGGATTCCCTCAGTTCCTCCCTGAGTGCTGCACGCCCAGAAACAGGCAAAGGGTCCCTGCACAATTCTAAGAGCTGAACGCAAAGTGGCTTGGGAGGATACTTCCAACACCACCTCTGTCTGCTATCAAAAATTTGAAACTAAGTTATTTTCAAAACTTCTTAATGTACTGTACTATCCTTACCATTAATAAGACTCCTTCTTTCAGGCTGCTTTGTTGTCCTGATGCAAAAAATGCTGTGTGCATTTGCCCTCTTATTAGTCTTGTTAGTGACTCATTGATTTCATTCTCCAAGGCGAGGCTGATTTAGGAGCCTTTCAGAGAACTTGAAGAACTCCATTATTGACCAGTGACACCTTCCAACCTTCTTCTATTGGGCCAAGCTTCCTCAGTGGCCAAGCTACCCTCTTGGAAAGTGTTTCTTGCCAAGCACTCAGAGTGATACTTACAGCCTCCTCAGATTGTCTCTTGTAGGATTTCACCTTCATTTGCAGCTTGTCCACCAGATCCTGTAGCCTGAGAATATTCTTCCGGTCTTCCTCAGACTAAAGCAGTTGGCAAACAGGAAAGAGTGTGAATTGTTTCCCCCACTATGGCAGGTAGCAATTCCCCTTGGCAATCAGGTGCAAACACTTTCAGTTTTTGCAGATGCCCACAGGGGCCATTACCTGGTAGGTGAGTTCCTTCACCCTCCTCTCGTACTTGCGCACACCCTTCACGGCTTCAGCGCTGCGCTTCTGCTCAGCATCAACCTCCCCTTCCAGCTCCCGCACCTGCAATGAGAAGCCCGTCCCTGCAGCTTCCCTGGGGGTGTCTCTCCAAGGGACAGGGTCACTCATGCACCAACACAGCCCTACTCACCCTGGCCTCCAGCTTCTGGATTTGCTTCTTGCCTCCCTTCAGGGCCAACTGCTCGGCCTCTTCCAGACGAAGCTGCAGGTCCTTCACCGTCTGGTCCAGGTTCTTCTTCATCCTCTCCAGGTGGGCACTGGTGTCCTGCTCCTTCTTCAGCTCTTCTGCCATCATGGCCGCCTGAGCAGAGCAAAAGGTCAAAGCCCTTGCGGGGCTGGAGACATTTTGGGGAGAATACATCCCCCATCAGCAATGAAAGGAGCCCCGACTCACATCTGTGATGGCCTTCTTGGCCTTCTCTTCAGCATTGCGGGCCTCCTGGATCGTATCCTCCATTTCGCTCTGAATCTGAGAAATGTCTGTCTCCAGCTTCTTCTTGGTGTTGATCAAGCTGGTGTTCTGTGCAACAGGAAGGACATGGCAAGATTTTTATTCTAAGGTCTGCAATAACAAACCTACTGCCTGAGCCAAGTCTTTCCCGTTCCATCGGCAATTGTGAATGTGGAATTCTTTGTACAGTGGTTGTTTACGTAATGCCAGTGGTGGGCTCGGGTGATGGACACTGAACATGCCTTTCCTGGTGGACAGCAGTAGAGAGGCCATTCTAGTACTGCCTGTCCCCTGGTATATTCCAGCTCTCTGGGTTTGTTAAGTGTCAACACGGCTGCCTTTGCTCCCTGCCCTGACCTGGGTATGGAGGAGCTGCACACGTTCAGTGGCATCCAGAAGCTCCTGCTCAGCCACTTTCCTCGACCGCTCCGTCTGCTCCAGGGCTGCCCGTAGCTCCTCAACTTCAGCCTGCAGCAGGTTTGCTCTGCGCTCCACCATGGCCACCTGCTCCTTCAGGTCATCCTGGGTCCTGAGAGCATCGTCCAAATGGATCTGGGTGTCCTGTAAGAGAGACAAGAGGAATTACATGGTGTCAGTGTGCGCTTGAGGGCCAAAAATGTCGGGGATCTCATTTCTCTTTCTGCAGCTCTGCTGAACAGACCTTGAGCACTCCCTGTGTGTTTCTCAGGTTCTTTTGTGTCTCTGCAGCCACACGGTTGGCGTGGCTGAGCTGGATCTCCATTTCATTCAGGTCTCCCTCCATCTTCTTCTTCAGCCTCAGGGCTTCATTCCTGCTCCTGATCTCAGCATCCAGGCTGCTCTGCAAGGACTCCACAATTCTGAGGTGGTTCCTCTTCAGCTGGTCAATCTCCTCATCTTTCTCTGCTATCTTCCTGTCAATCTCAGACTTCACCTGGTTGAGCTCCAGCTGCAGGCGCAGGATCTTCCCCTCTTCATGTTCCAGAGAGGCCTGGACAAGTGGACACAAACATGGGGAACACTGATAAACCTACTGCTTGCTTTCTAGGGAATTAGAGAATATTCCAGGAAATCTCAGCTGGCTGCCCTCCGCAGCCAGAAGAGAGCAGAAGCAAGGCCTTTTTAGCATTGTTTCTGCCTTGCTCACACATTTAGTGCAGACAGCAACGATTCTGGCCAGGTACCTCAGCTTCCTCCAGAGCAGCCTGGATTTCAGACTTCTCCTGCTCAACTTGCTTCTTGACTTTCTCCAGCTCATGAATTGCCTTTCCTCCCTCCGCAATCTGCTCCGTGAGGTCGGAAATCTCCTCTGTGGGAACAAAGACCAATGGCTTGCTCAGGCCCAGAGCAGAATGGGAAGGGCCCTGTGCCACCAGGGTGACAGGCATCTTTGCAGAGCTGCAGGCACGGACCCCGCAGCAATGCTCAGCTGGTGAGAAAGCCCATCCCGGAGCAGAGGGCCAGGGACTTACGCTGCAAGTTCTTGTTCTCCCGCTTCATTGTTTCCAGGTGGTCCAAGGACTCCTCATAGGCATTCTTCATCTTAAACAGCTCCGTGCTGAGGGAGCGAGACTCCTTCTGGGAGGCCTCCAGCTCAGCCTGCGTTTCCTCATACTTCTGCTTCCATTCTGCCAGGATCTGAAGAGAAACGGGGCGTGAGTAGGGATGTGGCCATCCCGGGGGGAGGCTCTGCCCAGGAGTCCCAGGGCTGGAGCCTAAAAGACCTTGTCAAAGTTCTTCTGCTTCTTGTCCAGAGCAGCGCAGGCAGCATTGGATCGCTCCACATCAATCATCAGGTCCTCCACTTCATTCTGCAGCCTCTGCTTTGTCTTTTCCAGGGAGGCACATTTGGCATTGACAGCTTCGACGTGTTCCTCTGCATCCTGCAGGCGCTGTGCCAGCTTCTTCCTGGGAGGAGATGAGCACAGTGGCAGCTTAGAGCTTAGAAGGGAGTCAGTTCTGCACTGCCATGAGAGGGCAGTTGGCCACTTTGGGGGGTTTGAGCTGAGCACTTTTCACAGATCCTAAAGGATCTGTCCTTTCTGGGTGCATTAGGCCTGTCTTTGCACTTCTAGCCCTAAAGCCTATGCTTTCCCTTCCAATATACACTTTTTTCCTCCTACCCTCTATCTGCTTTGCACACAAAGACAGTATATCCCTGCCTTCATCCCAGCCCTGTCTCAGCCCACTCAGAGACTCCCATTTCCCTTGACCGCTCTCAGTCTTCTGCAGTCATTTCTCATCCCACTCCCCACGTACTTGGCCTCCTCGAGCTCCTCCGTGCGCTGAATCGCGTCCGTCTCGTATTTGGTTCTCCACTGGGCCACTTCGCTGTTGGCCTTGGACAGGGCGCGCTGCAGCTCCCCCTTGGCTTCCTGCTCCTCCTCATATTGTTCCCGGAGCAAGTCACAGTCGTGGCGAGCGGACTGCAGGGCGTGGGCCAGGGCGTTCTTGGCCTTGGGGAAAAATATTGCAATAATGACTAAATGTATCCTGGGAAATTTTCTCTTGACACTGATATATATCCACAGAAATAGCAATTAAGTGGCTGCAAGATAAAAAGTTGAAAGTCCTGTGCTGATAGGGCCTAGATTGCATGACCTGGGGAGATGGTTTGAACTTCTAATTGGATCACCTTTTGAAGTCTTGGACATTTCATCAGAATCAATGTTATGTCAAAGATTTTATCTGTAACCTATATATCTTCACCTTTATTTCTTCTTCTAGTTGTCGCTTCAGTTCTTCAATCTGCTGGGTGAAAGCCTGTTTCCCTCTAGTCAGCTGAGAAATTAAAGCATCTTTTTCCTCCACCTGGCGTCCATATTCACCTGGAAAAGATTGTAGTTGAGAAAACATTTTAATAGCCAAGAAAATAATTTATGGAGTTCTACCATTTCCAAATTAGAGGTGGAAGTGCTGTACCAGATTCTGTCTGTAGACGAGCTCTTTGAGCACTAAGATCGCTGATCATGCGCTGATTCTGCTCCTCCTTTGTTTTATATTCACTCAGCTGGTCTTCCAGGGTGCGGCACATCTTCTCCAGGTTTGCCTATGTATCAGTCACAAGAAAATATATATAAGAAAATATATAAGTAAATATATATATATTATATATCTATCTATCTATCTATATATCTATATATAAGAAAATAGAGTAAATGTCTTGATCCTTCATTCTTTACAGGAGGAAAATGTATCCAGAAGATGCAGTTTACATGTCTGGGGACTATGTGCATACACCCATAGTTCTGCATATTAGATTTGGAAAAATCACTTATAACCTGATACTAGTTAAAAAAATATAAAATTAAACAAAATCATTACATTGCTCCCAAATTCCTAATAAAAATACTTGTGTACCTTGGTTTTGGAGACAGACTCTATATTACTGGCCAAGTCATCAATCTCCATCTTGAGCTCGCTCTTCTCCTTCTCCAGCTTCTGCTTGACGCGCTGCAGGTTGTCGATCTGCTCCCCCAGCTCAGCTGTGCTGTCCGCGTGCTTCTTGCGCAGGGCGGCAGCCGTGGCTTCGTGCTGCAGCGTGGCCTCTTCGAGGTCCCGGCGCATCTTCTGGAATTCTGCCTCCCGCTTCTTGTTCATCTCCACCTGAGCTGCCGTCGCCCCTCCTGCTTCTTCCAGGCGCTCGCTGATCTCCTCCAGCTCCCTGGACAGGTCAGCCCGATGCTTCTCTGCTTTAGCGCGAGAGGTTCGCTCGGCCTCGATTTCCTCCTCCAGTTCCTCAATACGGGCCTGGAGAACACGAGGGACCCTTCACACCCGTGCCCTCCTCCTCCCTGAGCCGAGCCTGGGGCAGGCAGGGGAAGGGCAGACGCTTGCCTGCAGCTCCTTGATCTTCTTCTGTAGTTGCATGCCCAGAAGTTGTTCATCCTCGATTTTGCTCTGGATCTGGCTGATTTCAAAGTCTTTCCTTTGGGCAAAGCAAAGTGGGTTACAGCTCAAAGGAAGAAGACAAGAGCTGCAGCCCAGCACTGAGGTGCCCCAGGGCCACACTCACTTCTTCAGTTTCTCATCCAGCTGCTGCTTATCATTCTCCAGATCCATGATGCTGTCCTGGGCCAGCTTCAGGTCTCCTTCCAGTTTCCTCTTGGCTCTCTCCAGGTCCATGCGCAGTTTCTTCTCTTGCTCCAGGGACCCTTCCAGCTACACAGAACAAGGCCGTCAGTGCTCCACCAGCCAGCTCAAACTCCATACCTGTCTGTTCCTGCTGTGTGTCCGTGGGCTTACATCGTCCACTTGCTGCTCCAGCTTGGTCTTGGCTTTGGTCAGTGTATTGACTTTGTCCTCCTCTGCCTGCAGGTCATCCAGGGTCTGCTGATGGGCCTCTTGGAGGGCTTTCTTCTCTTTTGTCAGCTTGGCGATGGTCTCGTCCAGGGCTGCCATCTCCTCTGTGAGGTTTTTCACCTTTAGGAAGAAGGGAGCAAGTGTAAATCGAGGAAGTAGATACAGAAGTCCTGGAAGAGCACGGGGCTCTTTTCTGGAGCGTGGGTGAGATTTTCTGCCTCATACCTTGTTTTCAGTGGCGTGCTTTTCCTTCTCCACCTTGGCCAGTGTTAGCTCAAGGTCATCAATATCTTTCTTCAGCTCTGAACATTCATCCTCCAGTTTTCTCTTCTTGGCTGTCAGCTCAGCATTGATTTCCTCCTCATCCTCAGCCCTTTCAGTCACTTCTTTAACTTTGGCTTCCAGCTGGATTTTGGTTTTGATGAGTTGGTCACACCTTTCCTCAGCATCAGCCAAAGCATCAGCTTCCTGGTGGGAAAATGCCATTGTTAGGGATACACTTTTTGAGGGAATGTATGGCCAGTCTTCGCGAACGAAGATTTGGGAAAGGTCATTACCCTTCGAGCCTGCGCAGTGGATTTTTTAGGTGAGACACAGTGTGTGCTGAACTGAGCCCACCCTTTAATCCTGAGGTTCAACTGCCAGGGCCGAGCGAGCTCGGACAGTGGCAGCGAGGTCCTCAGGACGTAGGTTTGTTTAGAGTGACCTTCTCTTAGATGGATGGCCTTACAGGGCTGACGAGCTCCATCTGCCCGGGGAACTCCTCTGACCGGGAATCGAACCCGGGCCGCGGCGGTGAGAGCGCCCCATCCTAACCACTAGACCACCAGGGGGCCCCCTTTTGAGGGAATATTGAGATTCTTACCTGCATAATTCAGAGTCCTGGATAGCAGTTTTGTATTTAAAAATTTGATACATGTTCCAATAAAATGACATATAATATAGAATTGATTTTATATTGTTAGTTTTGAAACAGACTGGTTTTAAATCTTAAACCAAGTAAAATCCTTTTCAATCTACCTCAAAACTTGAGTATTTATATATTTGCGCAGGGTACAGAATCCAATCTTATCTCACAGTATCAAACACTGGAACAAAGTGCATAAATTCGGGTTTAATCATAGGAATATCTCCCATGTTTGTGAAGTTCTGAGTGATAATCATATACCAAGATGCATATAAATACTGAAGACACAATTATCTTGACACCATTCCTGTATTTATTTTTTTTCACCTTACTCTCTTTCTGGAGTAACTGTTTCTGATTTATATTTTCAACACCATTGGCCCCAAAATACTCAGTATCTGTCAGCCTTGTCTCTTCTCTGTGCTACTGTCATCAGCTAAGAAGAAAAAGACCTGCTGGAAAATTTGCCTCCAGGCTTCTTTTCTGCAACATATGTCCTGTGGTATTTGTTATATTTTGTCTCAGGTTTCAGTCCAACAGAAAAAGTATGAAAGAAAAATAGTAATATTAGCAGTGCGTGGATTCTTTCATCTTTTTACAGCTCAAGACTCTTTAAAAAGGGGGGCGTGTGGCTTTTTCTATATGTCACATATGCTGCATAGTATCACTTAGAGGAGTCAGTCTTTTCTATTCTGTGACTGATTTAATTTAGAAAGCACAGCACTGTAACACCGCAGATGTAGCACGTGATTTTGTTTAATGATTCCTAGTGATGTAGGAGGGCGAGTGAGAATATTAAATTCTCTTTCCTCTTAGTTAGTTCAGTATTATACCATAGTAAAGTCTGTTACTATCCTGACTATTCAAGCCGCCACCTAAACCAGAAAGAAACAAGTTATCTTGTTCTACTGGAGAATAAGGAGAGGAAAGTAATGTCTTCTTAAATTGTCCTGAGAATTCTTAATTATGAGTGTGTAAGGAGAGGCACACTCAGTTTTGGAGACACAGGAAAAAAGTACTAGCAAAACAAACATTTTACAAAGAAAAGTTTCTTGATTGTTCTGATATAAGCAGAAGGGTAGTGAAGGCAGTGGAGGATCAAAAAACAAGTCCTATAAGGAGTGGCTGAGCAAGCTGGGTTTGTTTAGTCTGGAGAAGAGGAGGCTCAGGGGGAACTTCATTGCTCTCTACAACTGCCTGAAAGGAGGGAGTAGTGACGTGAGGGTTGATCTCTTCTGCCACGTCTCAAGTGAAATAACAAGAGAAAACAGCCTTAAGTTGTGCCAGAGGAGGTTCAGATTTGATATCAGAAAAAAAATTTTCACTGAAACAGTGGTCAGGCATTGGAATAAGCTGCCCAGGGAGGTGGTAGAGTCACCATCTCTGGAAGTGTTCAACAGGAGTCTGGATGTGGCACTTGGGAATACGGTTTAGGAGGGATTATGGTGGTGCTGGGCTGATGGTTGGAGCAGATGATCTTGAAGGTCTCTTCCAGCTGTGATTAGTCTGCGATTCTGAGAAATGCTAAGAGAGCTCAGCATACACCATAGAAAGTCTCATCCAGGTAATATGCTGACAGTCCTTATTAAAGCTTGTAAGAGCTTGTAAGAGCACCACTTAAAGAATCAAAATTGAACTGAGCTAAATTGTATTTTCTATGTGTCTTTTGAAAGTGTAATTGTAAATATCAACTTGATAGTCACAGCAGAGTTGGGATAAAACACGCTGGCGATACTCACAGCCTGCACTTGGAGCTGCAGGTCATTTTTCTCCTGCACCAGTTTCACCATTTTCTCCTCCAGCTCCTTCCGCTTTGCCTCAGACTTCGCAAGTTCTTCCTTAGTTTTCTCAAACTCTTGTTTCATGTTGGCCATCTCCTTCTCAGACTCTGCACTCTTCAGCAAGGGCTTGATCTTGAAGAACAGCTTCATCCAGGGCCAGTGTTTGACGTTCATGAATGCACGAATGTTGTACTGGATGCAGAAGATGGACTCTCTGAAAGGTAAGTCAAATTATTATTCAATATTTATACTGTGATGACACAATAAGCCAAGTAGGGTGAACCTGATTTGAAGAGAAGCCTACCTTCTCTCCACCATTCTCTGGTACTCCACCCTCATCAGGTAACCCCTGCATCTGGCCTGTGTGCGAGTGATGAGCTGTGCCAGCTTCTCATCCCTCATCTCCTCCAGGAGGCCTACGAGCCCAGCTTTGAAGAACACCTTAGGTAAGAGCATGAAAATAGGTGCAGTGTATGTGCTTGTTCAGGGTAACCTGGTGCCCTTCCCCCCATGACAGGCACTATGGGAAGTTAAGAGAAAGAGCAAAACCACAAAGAATATATGTAGTGCCCGACTCTTTTGTAACTCCAAGCTTCTGGTTACCTGCAGTTGAGGAACTATAATAGCCAGATATTTTGCTTTTACTTGTATTAACCCTTGATTCTTTCATTCTACAACTTTGTCTTAAATTAGGAACACTTATTTAACCCTTAATTAAACCATCCTATGGCAATGAATTTCAGTTTATTCAAATGTTGAGTAAAAAACTACTTGATTGATTTCTTTTACATACACCATTGGAACATTTCACATACTATCTGGAGTAACTGAGTGTCAGTCTCAAGCCATGCAAACCAAAAACCCATGGTACTTGAAGTAAGCAGATCTTATACCTTAGTGTGACCAAATTTGTATTGAGTGTGGTCTATATCAATTGATCCAAGAAGTTTCTCACAAGCCTTCTTGCTGTCAATGAACTGTCCCTCTGGGATAGCACTGGCATTTAATACTTTGTATCTGAGGAAGAAAATGGAAGGATTTGCTTTGGACTCAATGATCTTAAGGGTCTTTTCCAACCTAAATGATTCTATAATTCTATGAATATGAAGAGGTCTGTTGTTGAGACCAACTGGCTGCTACGTGGAAAGAAAGAGTCTAAGAACAGTTGAGAATGTAACAGCACTTATTAAACTGAAACTAAAGGGAAAGCTTTAGGCACAGGAGGGAAAAATTAAATTTCACAAGCTACTCAAGATGGGCGAAGTGATCCAGTAAGGGGATGAAGTCTGACCTCTGTTTAAAATCTGCATACAGGACTCTGTTGGGAAATCCTTTCCTGCAAATCCTGATCCCTTCCAACACGCCGTTACAGCGCAGCTGGTGCAGCACCAGCTCATGCTCCATGGCACCTGAGCAAGGCAGAGCACAAATACACACCATGTTCTGTAACACACAGAGCAAGAGCTGCACCATACTGAGAACATTCAATACATATGTAAACCTCTTACCAGGTGTTTTCGTTTCATTTGGGATGATGCAGCGCACAAAATGGGGGTGGGTGCTCCTCAGGTTGGTCATCAGCTTGTTTAAATTCTCCTGGGAGAGTCATTAAGAAAAGTTGATATTAGCAAACATAATTTCTTCTGTAAGCATCAAGCCCTCTGAAATGAGATGTACACAAGTGAGCAGAACCCTGAACTGAAGCCCTCTGCATCAGGTTTTCTGACTTTCCACAGATCTTTGCTGTTATTAACTTAATGTATGAAGTTATTCTGAGTAATCTGTAGAAAATATTGTACTCTTAAACATAGAATTGTAATACATTTCACTGACTCTAGTGGAATGCCTTTATCAGAAATTATATCCACAGGATGTACCCAGAGAGATAAAGTAGTACTCCTATGAGGCAATGAGTGGAAAGCACTCTGCAGGAGGCATCAAAGCTGGGTCATATGGAGCACACTACATAAAATCTTCGTGTTTTCCCTACTAAAAGCAAAAGGAACAAAACCAGTTTTATATGTCTAGAATATACATTTATCTTGTATGGCAAAGTGAGATGAATCCCATCCCTTGTTTTGTAACTGTATAGTTATTTATAAAAAATTATTGTCTATATTTAGGGGAGGGAAGCAGGTGCTTCTAGAGGACACTGCAAAGCATGTAAATAAAACAGAGAAAACATTAGGATGCATAAACAGCAACATGTCTAAACAAGAGGGATAGTGGAGCAAAATTTAAAAACATAACAGAAATGCAACCCAAATGCACCAAATAATAGTTCTCTTACAACATTACCTCCTAAAGTCTTATGACCTTTAGACATAGACTTTTTGCATTATTTTTAAATGATACAGGCAGTACAGCTATGATAATTGCCCCAGAGGGTGGTTGGACATCGAACAGCCTCCCCAGGGCAGTGATCATGGCCCCAAGACTGCCAGAGCTCAAGGAGTGTTTGGACAATGCTCTCAGGGACAAGGTGGAATAGTTTGGGTGTCCTGGGCAGGGCCAGGACTGGATGATCCTGATGGGTCCTCTCCAGTTCAGCATATTCTACAGTTCTGTGATTATTTTTTGGGGGGGCATATACACATGCCCATGTCCTGTTTCAGAGCACTGCCTAGAGGCTGTCAGGTGATGAAGAATCATATGACAGCAGACCTGTAGAAGAAATTAAGCAATATTAAGAAGGGAGGCATACATGAAGGATGAAAAAGGTAATACCTCAGGAGACAGGAGGTATTTCACCTGGAAGAGATGTATGGAGCAGTCAGGAAGCAAGACTTGGTTATGACAAAGGACTGTGAAGTATCGACATCTTAAAAATCCATAACTCAAGGAGTGATAGTATTTCAAGTATAAGAAATTGATCCTTGAGTCAGACAGAAAAATTAGACATATAAATGGAGTAAACAGGTCAACAGTGGCCAGAATGTTGTAAAAGGGCAATAACAGCTTCTGAAGCCAGAGGCGTGCATCTGGAGGAAATCTGGTCTATTTTAAGTATATTTTAGACATTTTTTCTATGACATTCTTCCATCTAGAAACATCATCCTCGGACAAGTGGGCAAATAGAAAAGCTGTGCATTCAGTGGAATGGAGTATGAGTAGATTACACTGGATTTATTCCTAGTAAAATGTGGCCCAAGAACTTCAGGATCTTTTAAAAGAACTAAGCCAAAAAAAGACAAGCCATAGTGATTGGTGAGTTTACTCCTTATATTAGGAAGAAAGAGTGAAGTCTCTACTGTACCCGGAAAAGAGCCGAGACAGTCTGGAAAGAAGAACCCTTCTTCTTGGCACCTTTCTTGCCTGCACCGCTGGCCTCGGCTAAATTAAAAATAAATAAAACAATTTTAGATTTTTGCTTTTGCCTTTTATTATTCCTTTTTGTAAGCTGTACATCAGTGAAAATGTGGGATTCATAGAACCAACCTGCTTCTGCTCCACCATAGTTGGCAAAGAGTAAGGCCAGGGTCTTGACAGATGATTTCTGGTACAGCCCAATGACAGTTTCATTCAGGGGGTCCTTGTTCTTCTCCAGCCACCCAGTGATGTTGTAGTCCACTGTGCCAGCGTAGTGCACCAGGGAGAAGTGGGCCTCAGCCTTGCCTTTGCCAGGCTTGGGCTTCTGGAAGTTGCTGGACTTGCCCAGGTGCTGGTCATAGAGCTTGTTCTTGAAAGAGGTGTCAGTTGCCTTGGGGAACATGCACTCCTCTTCCAGGATGGAAAAGATGCCCATTGGCTGGGAGAAATCACAAGGGAAACAGATTGTAATTTAGCTTTCAGGGCAATAATGACCTTCATGTAGACACAGTAATGGAACACAGATTGAGATACACATCAGAAAATATTAATATTTAATTACATTTTCTTCTAGAAAGTGGGATTGAATACATTGATACCTATATTTTTAATACAAAATTAACTATAAAGAATTAGAAATTAATTTAGTTTGTGTGGAGAATGTACTTTATAAAATCAGAGCACTACCTTCTTATGCGGTGGGACTGAGAGCAAAAACAGATGTATTAGACACATTGAACATGAGCCGAAAATACACCATTGCAGCAAAGGCAGCCAACTCATCCTCAGCTGCATTCTGTTGCTCATGGGAGTCCATCCTTCCTCTCTAATCAGCTCTGATGAGAAACATCTGGAGTGCTGTTCTAGCTCTTGGCTACTCCCATGGACGTAGTAGAGTGAGCCCAGTGACAGGCCGCAGATATATTTAAATGATCGGAACATCTGACATGCAAAAATAAGCTGACAGGACTGTCCTGCATGGAAATGAGAAGGGTCTGGGAGATCTTATCAATCTATATAAATACCTAATGGGAGGGAGAGAAGAGAGAGCTCAGTGATGTCCTGTGATAGGACAAGAAGAAAGAGGCATGATCCACTAAATTCCATTTAATGAGAAGAAAAACCTTCTTTACTGTGAAGATGGTCCAGAGTTAGAACAAGTTCCCTGAAGTATCTGTGGCATCTGCACCCTTGGAGATATTAAAAATCCAACTGGACATGGTCCTGAGTAAACTGCTCTAGCTGACCCTGCCTTGAACAAGCGGGTTGGGTTAAGTGATGCCCAGAGCTGATTCTGTGATTCCAACTACTCATCATCTGCCAGCTACTGAACTTGCCATCTCGTGTGCAGTACAACTGCCTTCACACGTCAAAGGAGGCACCTGCAAGTGTGACTGTGTACTGACAGTTATTTATGTGTGTCCATCCTCTGCGTCCGTTTTGAAAAGATGCAGCTGTTCTGCTGTACAAGCACTCTTGTCAGAGCTGAAAGGTGAGGAGGGCACACTGACCTGGAAATTGGCTCTAGCTGGTTTGGAAGAACACTCTTTTTGGGAGTTAAACAAACTTTTTGTGCTTGGAAAGAGATCAGTACAGACTTGCTGCCACAAGTCTGCCACACATCTGCCACGATCTCCTTCATTTCTCACTTAACAGAAAAAGTAAACTATGGGGCAAGGTACTTTGAATAAGAAAAGCAGAATACTTGCACAGGAACATAGAAGATCCCTTTGAACAATGAGACCACAGAGTTTTTCTGCATGTAACTCATTTGAACAGGTAGGATACCTTTTCAATGAGCTCAATGCAGGCAGCCAGGTCCATCCCAAAGTCAATGAATGTCCATTCAATTCCCTCCTTCTTGTACTCCTCCTGCTCCAGCACGAACATGTGGTGGTTGAAGAACTGTTGCAGTTTCTCGTTGGTGAAGTTGATGCACAGCTGCTCAAAGCTGTTGAACTGGAAATAAAATAAGAAGGATACATATTGAAAGATGCAGCAATAATTGCAAAACCTCCTTTAAAACTAAGGAATGGAGTTATCTTGGCTTCATTGTCCATCCTGTGCATTTCTTCAGTCTGCTTTGTGACTACATAATGAAAAAGAGAAAGGCATCAAATTAATTGTCCACAAGGAATTTTTTTTCATTAATAAAGTTGTGAAGATATAATATATACCAAGTAAGTTACAGGAAGAAGAAACACAAGCTTAGGACTATCGTGGTGTACATATTTTTATATTATCTTGTCCCTGACTATATAACCAAGGAATTTTTCTGATTGGACCATTCTGTACTTTTGAGTTTTCACATCTTGAAATAAGACAAGTCTTTTGAAAAGTCATTTTTAAATTCATAACAAAAAAGAAAAATAACACTAATCATCTGATAATATTATGTCTTCTTTAAAATGTGTCTCAAATTGATCATAACATTCAGCTGCCACTTCCAAGTAGCTCTTACTGAATCTTACTTACATCAAAGATCTCGAAGCCAGCAATGTCCAGCACACCAATGAAGTACTGCCTGGGCTGCTTCGTGTCCAGCTGTTGGTTGATGCGAACAACCATCCACAGGAACATCTTCTCATAGACAGCCTTTGCCAGGGCACCCACTGAATTATGAACCTATAGGAAAAAATAAATGCCTGGCATTACCATACAGGGCAGAGGAAAATCAACAGGATATTAATTCTAAACATGGTTAGAGGCTACAACATGTTTCTTACCTGCTGTGCTGTTTGACCCTTGGTCACGTATTCATTCCCCACCTTAACTCGGGGGTAGCAGAGGGCCTTGAGCATGTCAGCTGAGTTCAGGCCCATCAGGTAGGCAGCCTTGTCAGCAACTGAAAAGGCAGAGGAAAAAGGAAGAATTTAACATCCAGTAAACTTTGAATCCTGGAGCAGCCTTCCCAGGATTCAGCCTAAAGGCTGCAGGGTTCAGATTTCTGTTCTTTGAAAACTTTTGATAGACTCTCATAGAGGGAATCTTGGCAACTTCACACTTGTCATTATGCATATTGAGCTTTTCTAAAACAATTTATGTTTTAAAATCTTCCCTGGAACACGTAGAAAGTGATGATGTTTCCAAAAGTCTCCTGGCACTGAATTGAAAAATGAAGCTTGTTAGTCTGAAAGCTCAGGAGCTGCAGTGACAACAACCAGGTACTGATCTGCATTCAGGTGATCTAGACCACACAATATTTAGAGTGGAACACAGAGACAAAATCTCTGTTCTCTTTCAGATCCAGAACCCTTTCTGAGCTTTTGTTTCTGATGTTCAGTAAAACTAATTGGGCTTCATCCTGTTACCTATGGTGCTCCCCACCTCCTGCCTTGTCCTTTAGCAAGAGGAGGTGTTGCTCACAGAATTGGAGACAGAGGTTGTAGGTCCTGTGCCCACGAAGGAGAGGAATCAAATACACCTCTTACAGCTGCCTTCCCCTAGTGTTGGATAGGGGAAGACAAATGGGAACGTAGTCCCCTCTCATGTTAGAACTGAATCACTGGGCTGTTTTCACACTTGCAAGCCCTATTCCAACAAAGGCATGACTAAAGGAACACCCATCACTCCTGACTTCCTGGAAGTTTACACTGCTAACTGTTCATAGCATAAGATACATAAATCCTGAAATAAGGGAACTTGGTGTACTAAGGACAAGGGACAGGGTTTTTTTCCTGGCTGACTAATTTTCTTGGGATCCTAAAGTCCAATAATTAACAACTTTTGCTGTCTTCCACAGTGGCTTACAGAAGGGTTAATTATTGAGCTCAATAATACCTTCTGTGCCTTCAGGCTCTGCCTGTTCCTCTCTTGGTTTCTGCTTGAACTTCAGGTTCCCATAGTGCATGACAGCCCCTGTCAGCTTGTAGATGGCTGTTCTCTCATCAGCAGTGAAACCCAGGATGTCAATGGCACTCTGATAATACAATCAGCAAAGTGAAATATTTGTGTGTTATGTGATGTATGACCCTATGCCTGTTGACTTGTTTTGTACGTTACTCACATCTGTTGCCATCAACTCCTCCTTGTCATCAATGCTGGGAACACTGATCTCACCTTGACTCACAAAAGGGAAATCATAAGGGTTGGTGGTGATGAGGAGCATTTCTGAAAACAAATGTGTACATGGGTTAAATTTAATACTTTTTGTAAGGTAGTTGAATCTTGCTCAGAGATCTTCCTTCAAAAAACTCGGTGACGTCTCCTACCAATTAGCTCTGGCTTCTTGTTGGACATGATCTGATAAAAGATGTGGTAGCTTCTTTCCGCCTTGAGCTGGAAAGTGACTCTGGACTTCTCCAGCAGATCTGCCCAGGAAGGTAGAAAGAGTTAGGCACAGCAATGCACATGGAGGTGGGAATTTGGGAAGGCATTGGACCAGTCCAGGAGAGTCTCTTACAAGTTTCAATATCAGCAGAAGCCAGTTTCCCTGTGGCCCCAAAGTGGATTCTGATGAATTTGCCCTGTTAAGGAGAAGCAGCAGCATTTCAGCCTGTATGGTTTCTTCTGACATCTCCTTTACATGGAGACCTGCTCAGGCATCACTTGTCCTGCCATGAGAGGGAGAGATTTTGTCCAAGTCACCAACTCACAAAGCGCGAGGAGTTGTCGTTCCTCACGGTCTTGGCGTTTCCAAAGGCCTCCAGCAGTGGGTTGGCGCTGATGATTTGATCCTCAAGCGTTCCCTGCAGGGGGAAAATTATTCACCGACTGTGTTGAGTCGACAGGGCAATGACAGCCCAAGTGTCCAGTCTGTTCTTCCTGACTCACCTGCATTTTGCCTGACTGCTCCTCCTTTTTCTTCTCCCCGCTGGCTGCAATTGTTGCAAAGTACTGGATGACACGCTTTGTGTTCACAGTCTTCCCGGCACCGGATTCTCCGCTGTCAGAGCAAGGAGAGAAGCAGAGAGCGTGTGGTCAGGCAGGAGGGGCCCTGGCCCTGGGCAGCCCCTCAGGGACCCGAGCAGGGGGTGTACGTACGTGATCAGGATGGACTGGTTCTCCCGATCTGGGGAAGAGGCACAATGAGAGCTGTGTTAGCAACTGACCTGGGTAACCCTAAGCTGAATAGAAGTAGAGGTGTAAATAGAAGCTGGGGATTCTTCAGAAAGTCTAAGACTACCCAGTTCCCTTCTAGGTCCTAACAGTATTAAGAATAAGCCCAAATGGATATATTGAAGAGTCAGGGGCATCTGGACCTAAGACAAGCTATGTATCAATTTGCCCTTGACATAGTTCTCATCAGGAAATATAAATGCATTGCCTACCCATGTTCAAAATACTGGATTATATGGAATAATAACTTTCTTATCAGTGAAAAAATGTAGAAAACTGAGTCAAGCACTATTTCTTGTGCTGTGCAGTGGGAGAGTATAGAATTTTGTACAATAAAGTGAAAATAATACATTACAGTGAGTCTATGCATGCTTTTGGGTCACTTTCACTTGAAATTATTTGCTATATAACTCACTCAAGTTCACAGTCATGCAGCTCTCTGGTGGTTTTAGCTGGCTTGTCACGTGTCCCAGTGAGATCAGCAGGGTTTTTGATTAGATGGCTGTGAGGGAGGTCAAGCACTCACCAGTCAGCATGAACTGATAGGCGTTGTCAGAGATGGAGAAGATGTGTGGAGGGGCCTCCTGGCGCTTCTTGCCTCGGTAGGCCAACACCACCTCCGGGTTGTACACGGGCAGCCACTTGTAGGGGTTGACAGTGACGCAGAAGAGACCCGAGTAGGTCTGCGAGGAAGGGACACAGCACGTTGGCTTCCCCTGGGCCTGGCAGAGCAGTTCCTCCCGCTGCCCAAAGGAAGCTGCTGCTGCCACTTACGTAGATCATCCAGGCTGCGTAACGCTCTTTGAGGTTGTACAGCACAGCGGGTTCATGGAGGTGGGTCATCATGGCCATGTCCTCAATTTTGTCGTACTTGGGAGGGTTCATGGAGTAGACTTGATCTTCCTTCACAGTCAGGGTCTATCAGAGGCAGGAGGACATGCATGGATGTCAGCTAAGAACCCAGAGTGGGAAGAAAATGTTGCCCTTCAGGCTTGTTTTTCACTCACCTCTCCCCCTTCAGTCTTGACAGTGACTTTCCCTGATTCCCTGCTCTGAATTGTCCCTTTTACAAAGGATTCTTTAGGATGAGCCACAAAGACAGATGACTTGGCATCGAAAGGCTTGTTCTGGGCTGCAATTCTCTCCTTTTCTGACTTTCGCAGGTAAGGAGCCGCCTCCCCAAAAACAGCCATCTCAGCATCTCCAGAGGCCATGGCTGCTCTTTACGTCTGCTGAGGATACGTCAGAAGATGGCTCTGAGGAGAAGCAATATGGCACTGATTACTTACATTTTTTCAAGATTTGGGAAAATGTTATATCCTGTGCCTTGGTTTCTCTTCATACTCTATTTTAACATGAGATAAGCAGAAATTTAATTTTACATCAACTTAGAAAATAAGGGGCTTTCATGTAGTCTATGTCTTCAAACACTCACTAATGACCTTTTCAGAACCATGGGTTTGGTGCTTTAAGAATACTGTGCCTGTAAGACGAGTGAATTTGTTAAGGAAATTTCACTAAGACATCGCTATTAGGCAAATTCATTAAAAGGATGAACAATGAAGTAAAACTACTGAAAAACTGTAGTGCAGGTGAACTACAATCTTGGAAAATATTGAATCTGTGGAACATTTACCTATTAAATGTAATGGTAATGCAAAGGTAGTGGGAAATTAATGAATGTTGCTAATGAAGTTGTCAACTGAAAAAGAAAAGAAGGGCAAGCTTTGTGACCTTTTAATATTCTGCTACAATTTAATTTGCTGTACACATTTGTTGTCATTCACTACAACCCCTAAATAATTTCAGCCCCAAAATTCTGACTTAGGTGAAATAAAATTCAAGAATTGAAATTGGAATTGCCAAGGCTGTGTTAAGATCCCAAATAAATACCTACTGAAAAAAATCCAGGAACAAGTGAGTTCTCAAATGTAAAAAACAAAAAAGAGGGTATTTCTTCAGATGATGTATTAAACGTGTAGGTACCTAAATTTAGCCAACTGCATTTGAAAATTCTCTAGCTACATTAGTAAAATTTATACCATCTTTGTTCATTAGGTAATAAATATATTTTTTTGTCTGGAGTAAGAAAATGGGTAAGAGAGTTCTTGCACTTTACAAAGGTGGTTAGAAGGTGCGTTTCCTCAGATGATTTATTAATTAATATATTCTTGGGTAGAATACAGGATTTTTCACTTTTTCCTACTGTGCTTATTTGGTCCCATTCTCCTGCTGCCATAGCAAAGCTGGGAAAGCAGCGCACCTTGATTTCTGTAAGGTCAAGTAAGCAGAAGTGAAGAACGTCCCCATGGGCATTTTCTGGTCTATCATCAGTGTTCAGAGGCTTCAAACGTAGCCTTTGGCAGCCCCCTTTCTACTGCGATCCCACCAGGTTTGCACATAGGGTGAACCAGTGAGCCTGCCAGAAACCCCATCCAAAGGGATCTGTCTCTGCCCTCTAAGAGTCAGTACATCAGGTTCTTACCTCCTGTGACACCAGATGGGTGGCTTGCAGGCTGGCAGCTGGTCAGTGCTGTAAAACAGAAATGGCAGTTCCCTCATTGCTGCTGCACAGAAATCCAGAGTGAAAACGTGCAGATGCCTTGAGAGCAGGTTTATAATGGAGTCTCCTCCTGGACACGAACACTGGAAGCAGCAGGAATGTTGTGGCACATAAGGGCACCATCCCTTCCTGCCAGCCTGCAGACCCCCCTCACCTACCTTGGAGCTTTCCCTGGAGCCAGGGCAGACGTGTCGCGGGGACGTTTTATACGATCTCGTCTGCAGATGCTACAGATGCCTCCTCTTTCTTCGGTCAAAACATTTTTGGCAAGCCTTCTTTGGTAAAGCATTGTCTGGCAAACTGAACTAAGGGCATAATTGTCATTTGACATGACTAGATATAATTAGAAAATTTTGATGTCTTACTGGCTATATGAATACAGCTCCTATAAACAATCTCACAAGGGTGTTAAGGAGGGAATCCGGACTAGTCAAAGCACTTAGAGAACTTGGATTCAGGACTTATGGGTTCTATTGCTGCCTTTCCCAACGACTCACTGCACAATCCAAGATGGATTGCTTGGTATGTCTGTCCCAGCTATCCCAGCTGTACAATAGATAAAACAGGATGTTAAAAGATAAATTAGCATGATTAAAAACTTTTGGCAGTTTTGTTGGTAAAATTCTGAAAGCAGAGGTGCAGATGTAGAAGAGCTGAGCAGGATAACAGGCACAGCAGGATGGTCAGCCAAACACTGCAGCAAGGAGAGGCTGGGTCCTACCTGGTCTTTTAAGCTGATGCCTCTGACAGAGATGTGAGGTAGCTTTGGGGATATCAGGAAGAGTGCGCACACACACACACGCATGTACATGCGTGCCTCTTTGCAAATTGCAAATAAGTGGGAGATTCTCCAAGAAGTGTTATTGTGAACCTTGTGAGGGATTATACCTGCTGAGACTTCTGATCTGCAGGTTAATGCCAGTGAGCAAGAGATACTCCCTGCTTTTGCTGAAAACTTCTTAGTTTATCTAGATATTCCCATACCTGTAAACCTAGGAAGGGTAACTCTGATTTGGAATACCTTCCACAGGTTTTTTCCCTGCCTACAACTGATAGAAGAATCCTCTATTCACTCATGACTATACAAATAATTGGACATACGCACAAACACATCATCTCAGCGTGCAGTCCCAGATGCTCTCTACGCAATATATCCTCAGCCCAGCTCTTCCATTTCATCACAAATATCTTGCACACTTAGACATTTGAACAGTCCAAAACACCACAGTGATATCTTTACCGGACCACTGGGGGTGGCAGACATGCCTGTACAATGCTGATGGGGGAGGGGAAGGGGATTTGCTGGTAGTGCTGGAGAGACACTGGTCTAGTTTCAGGAATAGGGCACAGTCACATAAACTGTTTTAAATCCTGTCAGATTTAGGCTGAGGAACTTAATGCCTTCTTTGCCTTAGTCATCAACAAGGCTGAGCTGTTAGACAGGGACGGGGAGCAGAATGGACTCCCTGTGACCCAGGAGCAATTAGTGACCTGCTGAGCCACTTAGACACTCACAAGTCCACAGAGGCAGATGAGATTCACCTGAGGGCACTGAGGGAGGTAGTAGAAGAGCTTGCCCAGCCACTCTCCATCATTTATCGTCAGTCCTGGCTCACCAGAGAGGTCCCAGATGACTGGAGGTGCCAATGTGATGCCCATCCACAAGAAGTGTTGGAAGGAGGATCTGGGGAACTCCAGGCCTCTCAGCCTGACCTCAGTGCTGGTAAAGGTTATGGAACAGATCATCTTGAGTGTTATCACACAGCAGGTACAGGATACATACACTACGGGGCCAGGCCCAGCCAGCACAGGTTTAGGAAAGGCAGATCCCGCCTGACCAATCTGATCTCCTTCTATGACCAAGTGACCTGCTGGGTGGGCGAGGGAAAGGCTGTGGATATGTTTACCTGGACTTCAGCAAAGCCTTTTACACCAGCATTCACCTGGAGAAACTGAGAGCCATGGCTTGGACAGGGGCATTTTCCTTGGGTTAAAAACACACTGATGGCCAGGCCCAGAGAGTGGCGGATGGAGTTATATCCAGTGGGGTTCCCCAGGGCTTAGTATTTGGCCAGTCCTGTTTAGTATCTTTACCAATGACCTGAATAAGTGGATCGAGGGCACCCTCGGGAGTTTTCTGATGGACACCAAGCTGGGTGGGAGCGTTGATCTGCTGGAGGGCAGGAAGACTCAGCAGAGGGGTCTGAACAGGCTGGATCAAAGAGTCAAGGTCAGTGATGTGAAATTCAATAAAGTCAAGTTCCAGGTCCTGCACTTTGGCCACAATAACCCCTCACAGCGCTCCAGGCTGGGGAAAGAAAGTCTGGAAAGCTGCTTAGCAGGAAAGGACCTGGGAGTGCTGGTCAACAGCCACTGAACATAAGCCAACGTGTGCCAGGTGGGCAAGAAGGCCAATGTCATCCTGCCTGTATCAAAAATACTATGGCCAGCAGGAGCAGGGAAGTGACTGTGCTGGACGCTGGTGAGGCCACAGCTCGAGTGCTGCATCCAGTTCTGGGCCCCTCACTGCAAGAAAGACATTGAGGGGCTGGAGCATGTCCAGGGAAGGGAATGGAGCTGGGGAAGGGTTTGGAGCACCAGGAGCAGCTGAGAGAGCTGAGGGGACTCAGCCTGGAGAAAAGGAGGCTTGGGAGGACCTTCTCACTCTCTGCAGCTCCCTTACAGGAGGATGGAGTCAGGTAGGGGTCAGGCTCTGCTCCCAGGGAACAAGGGACAAGACAAGAGGAAATGGTCTCAAGCTGTGCCATTTGGGTTTAGGGGAGGTTTAGGCTGGACCTCAGGAAGAATTTCTCCACTGATAGGGCTGTCAGGCATTGGAAGGGGCTGTCCAGGGAGGTGGTGGAGTCCCCATCCCTGGAGGTATCCAAGAAACACTGGATCTGGCACTCAGTGCTCTGGTCTAGTTGTCAAAATGGGGATTGGTCACAGGTTGGACTTGATGATCTTGTAGATCTTTTCCAACAAAAAAGATCCTATGACTCTGTTATTCTACATGGACAGTCCAGCTGAGAGTGCTGGGCTAGATCACCTGACTTTGTGGACTGAAAAATCTTTGCCTTCCCAGTCGCCAATGACAAAGCCAGTGTACTCAGAGAGCTCTTCTGGGCTTTTGCTGTGGTGCTGTGCAGGATGTGGACCCATCCTTGTCACAGGAGTGCAGCACATGGCCAGGCAGCTCTGGGCAGGCTGAGAGAAGGTCTGATTTGAACAGGAAGCACTCAATGAGTTGAGATGTCTCTGGATCTTGACAATCACTCAGCAGTTCTTTGGAGATTGAATTTAGTGCCAGTAAGTCCCCATAAGCCAGTGCTAGAAACATAAAGTCTTTTTTTGAAACTGGTCCAAATCACAGAAGAGGGTTGTGAAACAGGACATGGCAATGAAGGAGATGCTTTAATCCAGATGGCTTTTGAATATCTCCAAAGATGGAGATTTCACAATAGCTCTGGGAAACCTGTGCCAGTGCTCAGTCACCCTCACAGGAAGAGTGTTTCCCAGTTTTCACAGGGAACCTCCTGTGTGTCAGATTGTGCCCATTGCTTCTTGTCTTGTCACTGGACACCACTGAAAAGAGCCTGATTTCATCCTCTGTGCACCTTCTCCTCGGGTATTTATATCCATGGATGAGATTCACCTGAGCCTTCTTCAGGCTGAATAGTCTCAGGTCTCTCT